TACTTACATTAAAAGTGGCTGATAACAATAATATTAAAAGACAAACATTCTTTGGCGAATTAAATAACTATAACGGCATCCTTAAGTCGTTGTGATAACAACCATTAAACAAATGAAAAAAGTTGTGCCTCTTGAGACGACCGAGCAGTGAGATCCGTAATGTTTAAATCTAAATGTAAGAGTGAGCATAGTGTCCCTCAGAGTGGATACAGAATCCAAAGGAAACCGAAACTAGTTCCAATATGGGCTTCAAAAGACCATCAGCAAGAATTACCGAGATTTATAGTATAAGATGCCGTGGATCAGTTCTATAATTATAGAATACAATCTTGAAGAAGAAAAACGCCAAATAAATCTTGTCGGAATTACTAGGAACATGTTGGTGGTTTTTTCTTTAAAAATCTTCACTAATTAGAGAACCGATCCACGACATTTCCTCGTAATATAATTTCTGGTTTTACCAATCATCAATACTCTGATAACCTCCTTGCTGGTTACTTCCTTGCTGGTTACTTCCTTGCTGGTTACTTCCTTGCTGGTTACTTCCTTGCTGGTTACTTCCTTGCTGGTTACTTCCTTGCTGATAGTCTTCTGAAGCCCATACATAACAAGTTTCGATTTTCACCGGTTCCTGAATCCTCACTCTGAAAGACCCTCTTCTTACTATGAGGGACCGTCTTTTAGCGTACATCCAGATTTAAAAATCCTAGTTCGTACTTGCAAGTCTCAGGAGACAACCTTTTTCATTTGCCTAATGGTTGTTACCACATCGACCTAAGAAGGATGTCATTATTGTTTCTTCCCTTGAATGTATTGTTAAGATGTTTATCAATCACTAACAAGTCTCATTGTTTAGACAGACAATGATATGTGTTTTTGTTTATATTTGCTATTTTTTTGACTCAAATTTTCAAAATTTTACCCATTTATATGATGTTCTTTATTTACATTATCATTTAAAAATTGATCAACTACATATTTTCTTTAGGTATCAATTTATTGAGTGGTTCAGTGAATTATTCTTTTTTATTATTTGAGATTTGAACTCAGTATTGTTACTTGTGTACCCAAATGTGACATTTTACTAAATTTATTTATGATGTCATTATTAATTTTGTTTTGATTGGTACACATAATTTTATTATTTTTTGTCAACCTAGTTGTTAACTATGCTAAACACCATTTTTATTTCTTAAATTACAAAAAGATTAATCTCAAAAAATGTTTTTAACAATGATGAGCTAACATTGTAAATTAACCACCATTTTAATCTTTTTGTTATTCAAGAATAAAAATTGCCACCTGTTCAATATCACTCAATACCACTAGCGTATTTAGGACGAGTTGTATTGAACAGGTGTTTACTCATTTAACACTAAAGTTGAGGAACAAGTGGTATTGAGCAGGTAAAACATAACTTTTTTTCTGAACTTACAAAAAGGTTGATCTAAAAAATATCTTTTTTTACAATATTGTAGATTAACTACCATTTTAATCTTTTTGCAATTTAGGAAAAAATATGTTTCACCTGTTCAGTACTACTTGTTTGTCAACCTAGTTAACACTGAGGAGGTTGTGGTACTACCCAGTTCAAAAACTAGGTGGAATAAATACTAAATTTTAAGAAGGAAAATAATTTCATGCTTAAATGTGAAATAGAAAAATTTAGTTTTGGAATTATTTTCCATTTTAAAAATTGCTAGCCTGGTTTTTGTTTCATCTTATTTGTTTACTACTTTACTTTGTGTAGATGGTTAACAACTATGATCAATTTTGATAAAACAGTTTATATTGGTGGGAAAATTTAAGTACAAACTTAAAAAAAACTTTCCTGTCACTGAAGTTATTTAGCGAATACGCAATCTTTTAAAGCAAATATAAACGTAGCGTTTACTTTTAAAATCCACCATTCTTATTTGGGACACTCATTATTATCGCTGGACATAGCCTTACATTAACATTTCGGAAAACCATGGTTGTTCCTTCGAAGAAATTAGTTAGGGGCTCTCCGTGTTTTTTAAATTGGGTTTGGCTATGAGTGTGATACATATAATGCTGGTATTAAAATCTCGGAAATGTGAAATTATTCTCGGTAGCATTGTGAGAAAAGTCTTCATACTATAATTAAACAGGTACCTACATTTAGCATTGCAAAAGGAAAACCAACTATGTTACGTTTTAACAATTTCTTCATGGGCTGTTGACGAAGAATTTTCACGTGTTAGACTTATTATACAATGTGTGCCTTTCATATCCAAGCACACAAGAAATTTTATTGAGGCAGCAATCTTTATTATTTGTAACAGCATGCTATTGGCTGTTGTCAGTAGTATGTCTACATTCTAAGAATAAAGTTTAAAAAAAAAACCGCGGGTTCGGAAAAATTGTGGCACTTTTTTTCCTATTCGAGCATCCTGTATTTTTTTTATTTTAATAATACTTTATCAATAAGATCGACTTTCATAGTTTTCCTAAATCTAAGTTTTGCGTTTTTAAAATTATTGAAATTTTTCAGTACATACTTTATTTACTGGGTATTCAAAATATCTTGTTTTATTGCAATACAAAGCCCTTTTAAATATAACCTTTATTTTATTTATTTTGCATGTTACAAATTTAATTCTATTTTAAATTGTACAGCCTAGTAACTAAGTCTTAAAGAATTGATTAAATTTATTTCTGTTTACCTAAGCTTCTAAGAGGCAATTTACAGTTCTTAATGTTTTTTACTTGCAAGTAAAATTATAGCAATTCTTATTGCATGCCTGCGCACTTTCGATCAGTTGTTATAATTCTTGTAATTGCAGAAAATAGCAACTGACTGATAATTTATTAATTTTTTATAATTGTGAAAATATAATCCTCAATCCCCCCTACAAAGTTAAGTAATTATCACCGCATCCCCATGAAAAAGCTAAGACTTGAAGAAAAGAAAAAATGAAGTGATATAATAATATATAGTTTAGTGACTTATGTAAGAAATGAAATGAACTGATTAGAAATTGCTGCAACTTTACTTTTAGCAAGCAACAGTGTGAACTTAGGATTAGTTTTTTTTTACCTCAAGCTGCTATATAATTAATTTATATAATTATAAAATAGAACTTTTTATAAAACATTGGTGGCATATTATAGTCCCTCAACCGACTACAAAAAGTGCACGTCGCTTTTGTTGCCTGTTCTTTGTAGTTGAGTGCAGAGGAGACGAACAAGTTGTACTATGTCCCGCCGATGGGAGCAGTCATATGATCTGTGAAATTCAAAGTAAATTTGTTCATCGATTGATTATCACGGCTTTTGTTCGTAATGAAATATAATGCTTTCAGACGTCGAGAATAGTAAAACATGTCTTTTCGTACATTTTCTGTCTTCCGGTTTTGCCACTTCAAGTGTAGTGATTCCACATACGTAACCATGTAGTAACTTTTTTTAACTAAATTCGGGAGTTAGCTTAAACGCGGTTTTTCTGAACCTAATATGGTATTTCGGTCATTTTTTTTTGTGTTGGTTAAAGAGTTGATGTGCAAAAAAGGATTTTTTAAGTGGCACGTTTTTTGAAATAGGTCTAAGATCGGAACCAAAAGTCGACAAGATGTTTAATTGATGTCAAAATATCTGTATCACTCTCAGCAACTAAGAGTTGCCTTTGTGAGCTTTTTCTTTAGTGATTTTACTCCACTTAGCCGTTTATTCACCCCGGATTTTCGTGGCAAACTGTCAAATTAGTCTAATTTAGTAAATGTAGTAAAACTACTGAATAAAAAGTTCATGCAAGGCATGTTGAGAGACATACAAACATTTTGATAGCAATTAACTCTCCTATTTTAAAAACAGGCCATTGTTTGCCTGTTAAAATTCTTTTTTTTTATTTTCATGTGAGCCCTTTCAATGACACAAAAATGCACAAGCTTTATTCCTAATTTCAAAAAAGTAAATATCAGTCACATGGTCGAAATTCCACCGCGCTGGGACACTACCAGTTGTTCACCTCCTCCTTTGCAACCTTCTCCAAGGAGAGGGCACAAAAACGACGTGCCAGTTTTTTGTAGCCAGCTGAGGGACTATTGCTACATACTTTTTTATTGCCAAACATACAGTGCTTATTTTTTCGTGTTAGTCATACTACTAGTATATAAGATAATAAAATGGCAACAGAGCAACAGCCAGTCGTCGACTAGAATAAGAAGATATGGTGGTGGGATATAAACCGAACCGAATGTCGGTGACAAAACCAGAGTATATAGCGATAGCGTGGATATCGTAGTTGCCACATGTTTACTTTGAAAGCATGGCTATGCCTAATACAAAATAATAAGCACTGTATTTTGTAACACCTTGACACAATGTCTTTCACCAACTAAGTTGACATCCTTAGGGTATCAAACCTGTTAGTATTGTTTTTACCTATAACATTACGGTAACTTAGTATATTTTAAAAATGCTGATTGAAACTCGCTATATTTCAATTATCAATAAAACATATTAATTTTGCACCTTATTAGGAATCGAATCTTATTTTATTATTAATAATTTAACATTTTATTAAAAAAAAAAAACAAGATTTCTGAAACTTTTGTTTCAAATAGAAATAAACGGTTTTCTACAATGCATATATTTCTCTATTCTAAAGAGTGTCGCTCACGTTTCCGTTTAAGGACCTCTTCTATTATATTTCCCATCTGTAGTGCTACAGTACTCAAACATCCATATGTAAGCAGTTATATTATTTATCCGTAAAATCTGAATTTTATTGCATATAATGATTTTACAGTAATGACTTTACAGTATCTCTTTACCAGAATATTAAGTGATAATCTATTATTCTGGTGGTTATTGCAGCTCTCATTTTGGAGAAATAATTGAAATTATCTGAATGAACTCTCAACATGTACTTAATTTACGCAACATCAAATTTAACATCAATAGACGAATCTATTAAATTCTAAATATTAAAAAGTTAGTCTGCATACTAGTTCAGCTTTCTTTTAAAAAAGTTTTTCTTGAAATGTTCGAATCTTATTTATCTTCGTATTTCATCCAATTCCTATTTCAGTCTTCAAAGGTTTTAGCAAACAGATCAAACAAGAAGAACCTTCGACTTTTAAATTCGGACAGGTAAGTTATATTTACCACCGAATCTTACATATCTTTTTAAGAAGTAAACATTTTAGAACATGTCTTGGCCTACGTGGACAGCAGCTGGAGCACCCATTCCTACTCCAATGGCTGCGCCTGTTCAATCGACGTTATTGCCAACTGCTCTAAATTCTGCTCCAGCTGTAATGGCGCCTGTAAGCTATAATCAAGAACAGTGGGCTCAAGTACAGCAACAAAATTGGCAGCAGTGGGCACAGTGGCAACAACAATATCAACAATGGCACCAGCAATATGGCGCAGAAGTAAGAATACTTTTATTGAATTTTTTGAAAAATATATTCATCATTAACTAGAACCTTTATTTATAGTGATTTTCTTTCTCGTTATTGATAATCTCTATTACTCATGCACAAATTTTACTTTTGGTTAAAATCATCCAAATTTATTGTTATGTTTCTTTCCCCGAGTTCCAATTATACATCCGCAAATGTTATTTTGTTTTTGAGTTTGACAGTAATGGTAGGGGAGCCAGTGTCACTTTTAGGTGTTTTGTTTGTGAATGGTAAAATTTTATTACAAATATATCGTTCATTCTTACCTTGTAGAACATGGAAATAGTTTTCTACGCTGCAATGGAGCCCTCGACGATAACGTTTTAAAAAAGCCTGTGTAGAAAATTCAGCCGTAGACGCGTCAACTTGAAACATTCAGATAATATTTACATCAAAAGTTGGTAGAAAAAAGTTTCTTAAAATTCTGGTCACAGTAGGTACCTTCTTGTTTGCTGACAGGGCATTTCACCGCTAGATCGATTGCAACAAATTATTTTCATCTTTTACAGGGTAAGAATTAACGATTAATTTATAATTTAGCCTTCTGCAAATGTGTACTAAAAAAGTTTTTCTGGCTCCCTACTATATAGAGTCGATGACAGTTGTTTAATATAACGATGACATGGGGTAATCGTCGTAGCCAACTCAACAGTTGTACGGAGAGGACAAGGAAGAGATAGCAGAAAGTGTTTGGGAAATTACTAGATTCAAAAGTCCCACGCGCTTTTTTGGCGCATGAGTAATGGGAAATTGTCGAACAGTGGGAAATGTCAATTTCTCATTACAAATATTGCTACGTTTGAAAAATACCTCCCGAAGCGGAGTAGAGCTAATAGATTTTTAGTCACGTGATCATCGAGCAAATCGAGCTTATGTGGAATAAAAGAACGGTTATGGATTTGTTTGTTTCTCGTTTCCGGTTTTTATTAAAATAACAAACCTAAACCTTTCTTTTAAATCAGATTTGATCTCTCGTCTCGTGGCTTTTGTTGCAATTTGCGGAGTAAAGTTAATTTTTAACTGTGGTATTTTTCGCTTTTAATTTCACTAAAAAATTAACCATGTTCTCATTTCTGTCTGACATTTTAATAAATATTATTTGCTCTTAATTAGCAAACACGTAAATAATATGAAAAAGAATAAACTGCGACACAAGAGACAACGAACGATCTCAGAGAAGTACATCTACTTTGTCAGTTGTCACAGAAATTACATTACTCCAAAAGCTCTAAAATTTAATTCGGAGTAAATAGATCTTACTCTACTTACCAGCTCTGCATTAAAAGACCACGGAGCAGATCCTATCGAGAAGCCACAGATGTATTAAAAGAACGGCTTCGAGTAAAAAGAGCAAAACGAGGTACTTTTCAAACGCAGCATATGTAATTTAAAGTTTAGTATTCATTCAGGATCTAAAAAAATCAATCAATTATTGGATGAAAAATCACATTATATAATGCATGAACACTATTTGACAAGTTCAAATAATAGTATTAAGCTATCATTATGAAGTTAAACAGAGTTGGCATTTTACTTACAGACGGTTAATAACCTATATTTTTTTTTATTTGTAAATTTTTGTTAGTGGGTCGTAGAAAAAATATACTGTACAACTCGAGTGGATTGTCCACATCGCACTTAGACAATTGAGCACTCCGCCTACGGCGTCGTGCTCAAATTTCGTTTTCGTGTGATATGGCCATCACATCCACTCTTGTAGCACAAACTACTATTGATGTTACATAATGAAGTTAATAAGTGGCATCTCGACTGTTTCGAAGGGTACCAATCCACAGATTACTAACCGATTGTGAGTAAAAATTCTAACCTATCATACTCTTACACCTACTAACCTGCTATAGAAGGTAAAAAAGTTGATAACTTTTGCATATTGGTTATTTTATGTTCTGAATTTTCTGATGGTATACCCTACAATAGTATATTATAAGTATATTTGGATTAAAGAAATAACGAAGAGAGGTATTAACAAGTGCGTAAATTTTTTATTTTGTCAAGCGTTTTTGTCAATTAAGTCATTAATACGTCAATTTTGTTTTAAATAAAACAGACGAACTGTTAGATAGACAAACGTAAGCCATATTCGAGCGGTCTCTTTGGTTAAAAAAAAAAAAAATTCAATAACTTTTAGGACCAGTTTTAATACTACGTCATAAATTTTGAAAGCGCTCAAATAAATGATTTAAAAACAGTGATGCCACTGTTAAGTTAACGATTTGTCAGTTTGTAAATCTCTAGCAACAAATAATTTTTTCCTCATATGTTAAAGAGAACTTCATGTAATATTACCAGAGATTTATGAAAAATGGATCGTTATATTTAGAATCTGACTTTAACCAGTTATTTGGAATTACAAAGTCAAGTTTTCAAGCATTCCTTAAAATTATAAACCTTCATATTTATGCATTTTATATTTTTTCTTATGACCATAATATAAATAATCTTTGTTATCACGAATTTTATTGTCTTTGCTATCCTCTATGATGTTTGTTATTATTTTTGACATTAATGACATTTCTATTTCCTCGAACCGTTCTTAATGAAACGTTTCAAAAACAGATGCAGCTGGTTTAAACCTAATTTAACGTGACGTCATTGTTTTGTCACTCGAATGGGAATAGTTCAAACCGTTTTCAAATAGCATGAAATATATTTAAACCAGTCGACCGCTCGAATATGGCTATAGTAAATATCTAGAAACGTACAAACATGAGGATGGTAACGATTTACAGGTTATACGTTTCTAAATGTTTACTATGTTTGTCGTTTATTTATGTTGAACATTTTGTCTTTTATATTAAAAAGTTTCAATTTCCTGATATTGGCTTAATAACAACAAAATGCTTCGTTCTTTCTTTACCTACTACAGGGTACACACCTACAACCTTTAATTAATATTTTACTAACCTTAATTACCAATCGTTTCATCAGTTGAAAATGTTTTTCAATTTAAATAAATACCAACAATTTAAATTAAAAAAAAACATGTTTTCCATTATCTTTTTTAGTATCAAAAATCATTAAGTGCAATGCAAGGTAGCCTGCCAAATGTAGCAGCAGTACAACCACCATTGCCTACAGCAGCTATGGCCGCCACAGTTATTCCTCCACTTCCAGTCGAAAGTAAACCTCCGTTACCACCTGAAGATCCGCCTATTCTACAATCAACCGTGTCTGCAGCATATTCAACTGGTCAACCTAGTTCTCACCCAGTAGGCTATACAACTGCGCCTTTAATGTCGCAGCATGTGCCACCTCAAATAACTCAACCTGCATTTCCTCAAACAACCCAAACTTGGCAAAATACTGCACAAAAACGACCACATCAAGATACTAATTATGATCATACAAAGAGATCAGCGGTGGAAATACCTGGAAATCAGTGGAGCCAACAAAAACAAATTCAAACTCAATGGCAAGGAACATCTCAGAATTTTAGTCAACCTCCTCCTCAAATCCCGACAACTGCAAAACCTAATGTTAATGTAGAAGAACTTTCAGAAGCAGAAAAGAAGTTTGATAAAGAATTTGCTGCTTGGGAGGCACAATTTAATAGATGGAAGGAGCAAAATGCCAATCATCCCGATAAAACTCAATACAAAGAATATGAAAAAAAATGGGAATCTTGGCGAAATTCTCTCTTGGAACGTCGTGAACAAATGCGACGAAAAAGGCTTAGTCTGGGTGGGCAAAGCGTAACAACAGCTCCAAAAACTCCAACTACAAATTCATCCAGTTTGGCTACTAATCCGTCTATTACACAATCTTTACCTGGAAATAAGTCTTTGCTTGGTCAATATCCTGGAGCTTCAACACCTGCGCTCCCGAATAATGATTTATTTAGTAAACTTCCACCTACTCTCAATGATGAACCTTTGACTTTCAAAACACAAACGATTTCAAAAGAACAAGACGATCAGAATGCTGGTGAAGGATTTTTAAATTCATCATCTTCAGGTGGTATTCCAGGGTTAGATCTAGTCAAAGACGACTCAAACGACGAAAACTTACCTGATAGATCAGATGATAAAGAGATTGAAAAAATTGTGGAACCTAATGAAAATCCGGAGGTACAAAATAAAGGACCAGATTTTGAGGCCATATCTAAGGGTATAAATTCAATACTTGGAGATCAAAAATTACTGAGTATGTTGTCAATGGTATCACAAAATCCACCAATTGGTGCAAATGCTACAATTACAACAAATACATCTGTAATTCCACCACATTTTACACAAAATTTTGCTGTGCCACCACCTAATTTACTTCAACATCCCCCTGGAAAGATTGGTGGACCTTCACCCATAAGTGGAGACCCTCCATATCCTAAGTTTTCGAATCAAAGTTCTGAAAACAAAGAGGAATACGGTCGAGAAACATTAAATAGATTTGGTGGACCTAATATTGGTAACAACTTTGATAGAAAAAGAGATATTCAAGACAATCCTAGATCATTTATTGACAGAGAAAATACTTCCAGAGGACCTGGAAACTTTAATCGAAATGGTGATAACTACAATCAGAGTGATAATTTTAATAACAGATTTGATGATGGTCCCCAATTTAACAGAAGCGTCGATAGAGATAATTATAATGGTTCAGGAGGTACAGGTAATTTTAAGAAACAGGACAATTTTAATAAAGACAACTTTGGAAGTCATGATAAAAATCACGGCCGATCAGAGAATTTCAGACAAGAAAATTATGATGATTACGATAATTATAACGAAGAAGATGATTATGAAAAATACAATGAATTGTTTAAAGAAGAAGAAGACAATTATCAAGAAGACCGTTATCAAGAAGACCGTTATCAAGAAGATCGTTATCAAGAAGATCGTTATCAAGAAGATCGTTATCAAGAAGATCATTATCAAGAAGAACGTTATCAAGAAGACCGTTATCAAGATAACTACAAGAATGATACAATTCCTCAACAACCCCAACACAAAATTTCTTCATTAATGGATCGGCCAATACCAGCTCCACCAAATATCCGTCAAGCAAATATTGATCGTCAACCAAATCTTGACCGTCAACCAAATCTTGACCGTCAACCAAATCTTGACCGTCAACCAAATGTTGACCGTCAACCAAATGTTGACCGTCAACCAAATGTTGACCGTCAATCTAATTTTGACCGTCAACCTAATTTTGACCGTCCACCAAATTTTGACCGTCAACCAAACTTTGACCGCCAACCAAACTTTGACCGCCAACCAAACTTTGACCGTCAACCAAACTTTGACCGTCAACCAAACTTTGACCGTCAACCAAACTTTGATCGGCAACCAAATTTTGACCATCCACCAATTGTTGACCCACAATCAACTGATGCTCCTCAACCAAATGTTGACCCTCAGCCAAAGGTTGATGTTAAATTGTTTGAACCTGCCATGGTGATTGATTATCAACATAAATCTAAAAAAGAAGGTAAGTAATAATATTTAGAACATTAGAAAATTCCCTTTTAATGTGTTAAGATTGTGTAAAATCTAAAACTTGAATACTTATTATTTTTCTTCCCTTACATTGGCCCATACACTTGTAACGTAGTTGTTGTTTTTTCTTTAATTTTCAATTAAATCTGGTAATTGAATGATTATTTTTTCCCGTTTTATGATTTTTTTAGATATTTAATTTTCCCTTATTCAGAGTACTTAATCCTTTTTGTTTTAAGTTTGAGTGGATGAGCTTCTTAGAAGTTAAAAATTGAACTCTGCTATTGGTAAAATTTACAGTGTGTAGGTAAATATGTTATAATTGTCCCATAATTACAAGACAAAAACTTCTATGGAAATTATATGTTAAAATAACACCAGAAGTTCAAATAATTTTTTTTAAGTCATACCCTCTTGGAGTCAAAGAAACATGATGTAAATAACAAGGTGTAGTATTCCCGTAGATGCGCAAAGGCAACCAAACAATCAGAAAAAAAATCTAGTAATAGTAAAACAAATTTTCATTATCCAAAAAAATATGTATAGATTCATCCTCTTATACATAACAAATTGAAACTAACATTTACAATCAAACATTAGGAATAAGTATACCTTAAAAAAACAAATTAAAAATTGCAATGTAAAAAGTCATCCTATTGGAGTAGATTTTGAAAAAGAGCAAAAAATTATTGGCTGAAGGCCCGGTATTACTTCTTAGTCCTAAGATCATACAGAAGGAATTCATCACAGCTTATGATCACAGAAATTCAATCGTTAAATAAAGTTTTCTTTCTTGGAATGAACATTTTAAATGGTTTTTATATTTTCTTTTCATTAAAATCCTAAATCTATATGAATTAAGAAGCCTAACATACTCTAGTATCGTATTATAAATAGACACACCTTTGATATACACATAAATAAGCCATTTTTGAGTTTGTCTGTGGAATATTTAGATTATTTTTTAACCTCGTATTTAAGTTAAGTGCCTTATGCCGATATGTAAAGGCTGCGTTTGAAAATTTAGATCCACACAACCTGGTGAATGGAATCACAAATCTGGTATTTAAAAAATCTGTTCGATTCAAAATTTTTATTCTATAACTGGCTTTATTTTGTAGTCTTTTTATCTTTTTTACCCTTTGACCTGAAGGAAACCACAATGCAGTCAAATACTGCAAATGACTGTGTATCAGTGAAAAATACACAGATTTTTTTTTGAATCTTTAGCTTAACTCCACACAGAAGTGGCAATTTTGTTTGTAGATAATTCAAATGAGGTTCCAGGACAGTTTCATCAACAAGACGACCCACGACTTGGTTACATTAGTGTATTTGAATGTACCAATGTTATGTTTAAGGTTTTGATCCATTGAAGTCCTAGGCTTTTTGTTTTGTTTTACATAAATTAGGATTTGTATAGGTTAAGGTGAGTTTATGACTCTGTAACCATCCTGAGAGCATCTCCAGGTCACCCTTGATGTCTTTATATCTAAATATTCCTTACCAAGATATAGGAGTACCAGCATAAAGCTTTAAATTGCATTTAAGATTTACTTTTGAAATTGAATATATATAAGCTAGAAACAAAGTAGGACCCAATATTGACCCTTGGAGAGCACCCTGTTCCCTATGTGACAAATAACATTAGTTCGTGATAATATATTACTTACATTTATCTTCTTATTTTTTATCTCATTAATAATAATTATGACATATTTCTTTATTTGTATATTTATTGACTTAACATTTAACAATTAAAGAAAAATAAAGAAAAACAAGAAAATCTCCGTCACGTGTCACATCATTGTCAGACATTGAATTATATCCAAATAAAAGTAGCAGAGCGGGGGTACTCTATTACAGCCGATAGTCTAGATAGATTACTGAGTTTTTTACTGTGCTTGATAATTCAGGTGGATGAGTGCCTCACTAGTCCCTGCCTGCTAGTAAAATCCATTTTTCTCTAAAACCGTTAGACTTATCGTCAACGGACAAGAGTAGCTTTTTGTACAAATATGTTAGCCTAACTTAAAGTTGCTAATAACAATCTGTCAAACAGTTTAAGAGTTTTAAAATATAGGGCTAGTCCCCCCTTATCTGTCCACATGTTCTATGAAAATTTGTAATTTTGTTTTATAAGTATTGGTCACAAACATTTGCTTTAGACATTTAAGGCCGAATGTCTGAAGGGGTACAACATTATTTAAACTTCTAGTGTTATTTTCACCTATACTACCCGATTCTTAATTTTTGCTTTACAATATTCTAATTAATGTATAAATATGCCATAATATTATATTATTAAACGAGCAATTTATGATATCCATTATTCAAGTCACCCGAGTGAAAAATGGCCATAAATTGCGAGTATAATACTATACTTTGTCCACGACCATTATGATTTCTTTATTAAATAAAAGTTAAGTGTAGAACGGAAAGTTTTTATTAAACATAGGTAACTAACTGTTGTTGATTAACAAATGAATGCTTCAAATTCAAAATTAATAAATTTTAGGACAGGAGTACGTCAAAGTCAAATAATCCTGACATCTATAGAGATGGACGATACTGTATAAAGTAACAATTCACCGTATCGATATAATATTTAAAATCAATATTAAGTGCACTTCAGATTATGTGATTTATCATATGATTTTAATTCTACATATGACTAAATTATTTATGATATAATCATGTGATAACTCATGTGATAAATCACAAAATCTGAAGTGCAATCCAGAAAATATCGTTATGAATAGTATCGCCTATCTCTAGTCACCCACCGGAATGTGCCAGAATTACAAAAGCGTGAATTATCATAATTCACTTTAGTGATATATGGGTACCATATGCTCTTAGGAGGTAGAATATTGATTTATTAAGTGGTCGTGTACAAAATATTTTATTTTGCCAATTTGAAAGAAAAAACAAGAAAATTATAATTTGGCGGTTTATATGCTGTTGACATCCAAGAAAAAGTAGATGCAAGTAATTACACGTGAGCAGGCGTTGTCTAAGGTTTAACAGGACCATATTAAAAAACCTGAATCATCCATCGAAGTTTGCAAATTCAAATCTTCATGAACTGTACACATTCGATTACTTGGTTGTGCACTTATTTGGACGAGTACTTAATAATAATGATAATAAACTCCTTGACAAAATTAACGCACCACTTAAATTAATCTAAATATTTACAATATAAACACAACATAAAACTAAGTTACATTGAAATAATGATGAACACCTAAAAATTAGTCGAATATGACCTTTACATGACCTTAATTTGTCTTATTTTTTCCATAAAAATTTGTTCTTGCTGGAAATGCATAAATAAGCTAGCATAACTCCAAATTGAGAAAAGAAAAAAAATCAGTAAAAGACAATAAATGCATCTGGGTCAACCCTAATACCGCGGAGGCCCTCCTCTACTTCTTATCACTGCATTCACGCGTCGCGGTATGCTTGATATCAAATGTTCAACAAAAGCTTGCGGTATATTTTCCCATTCTTCAATGGCGACCTCTATGAGTTGGTTGTGATTTGTTGTCTATGACTTCGAATTCTCTTTTTGAGATAGTCCCATAGATGTTCTATAGGATTCATATCCGGACTGTTAGGTGACCACTCTAATAAAGGAATATTAACGTCATGTAAGTAACCAATAACCTGTCTAGCCACGTGGGGACGAGCGTTGTCCTGCATGAATAAAAAATTGGTCCCAACAAACGGAGCAAAAGGCATTACATGTTCGACAATAATGTTGCCTAAGTAATATTGGGCATTCATAGACCTCGTACGTATAGGGACCAACTCCGTACGAGCATCGAATCAAATTCCTTCCGAAAACATTTTAGAGCCACCACCAAAAGGCACTTTAGGAGAGATATTACAGCTGGCAAACCTTTCTCCTTGTCTTTCACAGACACGCTCACGTCCATCTGGGGCTTTAAGACTAACTCTAGTTTCATCGGAGAACAGAACCCGTTTCCAATCATTGATGGTCCAATTCTGATGTAGTCTTGCAAAATTTAATCTCTGAACTTTGTGTTCTCTGGTAAGCAAGGGTTTTTTGGCTGGTCTTCTGTTGCTTAATCCTGCTTCATGTAAACGTCTTCTAACCGTTCGAGACGATATAGCGATATTTCGAACATCTGCTAATTCATTTTTAAGCAGATTGCTGGTTACTTTCCTGTCTCTAAGAGCACGTTGTCTCAAAAAACGATCATCAATTTGATTAGTGCAACGTTTTCGCCCTTGTCCTGGTCTTCGATAGTACGAATCCGTTACATTATGTCGCCTCAGTATGCGACTGATGCTGGAATGATGTCTTCCTAACAAACCAGCAACATATCGCATTGAATATCCTTCATTCAGGAGAGTCGATGCTCGCACTGCCTCCTCCAGTGACATATTTGACGGTTAATTTTTTTTACTTGATATTCTCCCAAATGAACAATTACAATCAACAGCTTGCCTGTAACAGAAACTTTACTTTAATCAGCACTTTTTAGGAAAATGTTAACACAGTTTTAGTCTAAAACGAGGTTTAATACGAATTACTGTCAAAACAAGGTATTACGTGACACTAGCTAGCTTAAAAAACAACTGAGACTGTCAAACAAGGTCCATGGCCTACTTGTCGTACAGTAAGTTATCACTTAATAAAGATTATCGAGCAAAATATAAGTGGTGCGTTAATTTTGTCCAGGAGTTTAATTATTATACCTAAAATCACTTGCAATGACCCTCACACATCTTGCAACAACCCCCTACATATTTTTTACACTAAAAAATAATGTTTTGCCCTTTCAGCTGATGAAGAGGTAACTGTAGTACCTGTTAACATGTTTGATTATCAACATATACCCTTAAATCGTATACAATTACCGCAGAGACCAAAATGGCTTGCAGAATCAGTTAAATTTATAAGAGAATTCGATCCGATGGCGGTTAGGTTTGAAAGACCTAAAAAAGAAGAACGGAAAGACCGTTTATTACCAGATGATAGAGGAAATAGGAGGGATAAATCCTTCGAATGGGATGAATTTCCTCATGATAGAAAAAATACCCGCGATAGAGGTGGAGATAGATTAAAATATAATGAAAGAGATGACTACAAAGATGTATCTGCTGGCAGAATAAGAGAAGAAAGATATAAACACAATAATTCTGAAAAACGTAAAAGAGAGTCTAATGATAGCAATAGAAATGAACAGAAGAAATTGGCCAAAGATTTTGAAGATTTGTCAGACTCTGAGATGGATTTTGAACAGAGTGAACAAGTTAGACATAATCAAGATGTTGACATTAAAAGAAGCAAAAGCAAAAGTCCAGAATTAAGCAATCCTCCAAATCCTTCAAGTAATCAAATAGATGTTACTATGATAGAGGATATTATCAACCCTCCAGGACGTTTTAATCGCCCACCGCGCATAGTTATTATTTTAAGAGGACCTCCTGGAAGTGGAAAAACATTTCTTGCTAAACAAATTAAAGATAAAGAGGTAAATGATAAAGTAATCATGTAATGTATTTTTTTAATTGCTGCTTTTTTAACTTTAAAAAATAAGAAAAATTTCAATACTATGCGTTTCCATTTGAAATACATTTGAGCTACATAACAAAATTTTATTAATAATTAGCAAAGGGGCCAATACGAAATTGGTAGGTATTCCGGTTCAAACAAAACTTATATAAAAAATTGTCTAGACTGATTCAAATTTACCTTGACTGAAATTAGAAACATGAAAAGTGTGTTTTTAAACTAAAAATGCTTTGCTTTAGAATGTTTATATCTTGACACATTTTCGTTCAGTATCTGCTGCCAACGATGATTACTCTCTCCGAAAGTGCAAACTTTTTTTTCTTATAAGCATCGAAACTTTTAAACAATAAATGAAAAAATAAATTGCAGAATCCCGGTGGAGTATTTTTCCTAGACGATACTGTTAAGCCGTTTATTGAAAAATAGAGATAACCAAATTGGTAAAGGCGGTGTGCATAATACACGAATAGTTGAGTTCGAATCCCCGCACAGGACCGATTTTTTTTAAATTTAATTTTCAATAAATTTGTTTTCACTGGGGGTTAATAAATAAATTTTAGTATTTCATAAGGGAAATTTTGAGATTTTATTTAGGGATTTCTAAAAATATTTTTATTGTTTTCGGATCAATAACTGATATAGTTTTCGGAATTTTATGACCGATTTTTCTATGACTAATTTATTTAACAATTTTTTAGGTTGAAAATGGAGGATCCGCCCCTAGGATCTTATCATTGGATGATTATTTCATGGTTGAGCAAGAAAGTAAAGTGTCCCAAGATGGCAAAATGCAAACTGTAAAAAAAATGGTTTACGAATATGAAGCTGAAATGGAAGAATCATATAGAACATCATTTATGAAATCATTTAAAAAAACAATAACTGATGGTTATTTTCCATTTATTATTGTCGATAATGTTAATGATAAAGTCAGACACTTTGGAGAAATGTGGAGTTTTGCGAAACAAAATGGTTTTCAGGTGAGATTTTTGTATATTATTAGTAATTTCATATTGAATAAAAAAAAAATATAAAAAATGTATGCTTGGAAAATTATTGTTACACAATACAAATTGTTAGATACAATAATTAAAACAAACAAGTCGAATAGGTATTTGCCTTATTTGTATAACCTTGTGATTATTCATCTTCTCTAAAGGCGGGTCCGAGGCATTAAATATATTTTTTTTTATTTAAGTTTATGCATATTTTTTAAAAGTATATTTCAATCTAAAAACTTTATAGTAAAAAAATATTTAGAAATGTGATTATTACAGAGATTGTAATTTAAAATGGTATTTTTTTTTAAATAATTGTGTCATTTTTGAAAGATCTCCCTTCGTAGTTTTGGTTCTTATTATTATAATCTTAGGTTTACATATGTCAAATGGATTTGGATCCTGTTCAATGTGCAAAGCGTAATATACATAATAGAACCGAAAATGAAATCGAAGAAATAATCCTTAATTGGGAGCCTACACCGGCCCATCACCCCACAGTAGATGCTTCTGGTTTGCTTCAAATGTGTGCCATTGTTGATGTCGAAATGGAAGTTGACGAGGAGCAACAGGATGTTAGTGAAGTACAACAAGTTCCAGAGGTAAAGCCAAAATGATGCGTCATAGTTTAATATTTCTTTTGATTTTGTAGGTCAAGTTATTAGTTATATGGTCCATCTTTATTATAGGTAAATTAGTTGGTCAAACCTTGCTTAAACTATTAAATAGATGAAATTTACATAGAACATGTCTATAGTTTTATATTCAAAGTAAACATATTTCAGTGAACCTCTGGACATATTAATTCCGATATACATTAAAAAAGTAATTATTTTCAATCATCTGACTATATAAATTAAACTAATTTTATATGCAAAATATTTTTTATTGAAAAGTGATATATGTTTATAATTTGGTATATTTTAAATTAATTTCCTATTCCCCTATAAATATTTAAACCTTTATAAGGTGTTTTCAGACTTCGATAATTTGGTATAGAATTTCCAGTCAATATTTGGCAAAGTAAACCATAGACAATTTTCCGATAAGTAATAAGTACCCAACCACCAAATCGCATAGAGGTAAAGCGATGGCGATGTATTTTACAAACTATTATGAATTAATTGTTTATATTTAAGCATTAAGACAAAGTATATGTTAACATTTAAAAATGCTACCAGCGTGTGTTTTGGAGGAAATAATTTAAATAGAATATAAATGCATGAATGTTTTTGAGAATATCCCAGCTGTGGCAATCAAAAAATAAAAACTAAACTTGTAAATTTTAATGTTTGATAAAAATCAATATATGACAGTACAAAAGTGAAGTTAATAAAAAAAACATTTTTTTAACTACTGTGAACTTAATTTTGAAAACCAATTATTCCAAGTAAACTTTTTTAGTTTCTAGTTTCTGAAATTGATTTTTACAGAGCGGCTTTGTCATATCTCTCAGCTGTTCAGTTCCAGGAATATGAGTTACTTTAAACATTCCTTCCAATACATTCTCTCTGATAAAGTGATAACGAATTTCAATAAGTTTTGAACGGTTCTGTCATGAAATAAAGCTGAAAGAAATAGCGCTTATCAAAATAGCGATATTGTTTAAGTGCTGAATGAAATAGCGCCTACTCAAAATAGCGCGTTATCAAAAGAGCGCTTGAAAGAAGTAACGTGTCTCAAAAGAGCGTCAGTCAAAACAGCGCCCGAACGAAACCGCGCCTTAATGAAATAGCGCATTTTGAAATGGTTAATTTTTGAAACGGCATCATTACAAAATGGCTGTCACGAAATACCGCCAAGAGAAATAGTGCGTTTCAAAATAGTGCGTTTCAAAATAGTGCTATTGTTTTTACATAAATTGATAAAAAAAACAATTTACGTAACCTGTGTCATTTAAAATTAAACGATCTCTTACGCATATGTTAGGTAGATTAGTTGTTTTTAAATTTTCTTTATGTATAATTTTTTGCACTTAAACCTGCAATGACTTCGCTGCACAGGTTAGGTAAATTCGTTTAGTTTTTTTTAATCATTTTATGTTAATTTTTTTGGGCCTATTTTGAGTGACGCTCTTTTAATACGAGCTGTTTCATTCAGGCGCTCTTTTAATATGCACTAGTTCGTGACAGCCGTTTTGAAAGCTTGTGGAATTCTGGGTCAAGAATCATTTTTACAGCAAGTGCATTGTCACTTCTTAGAGTAGGCACGTCTTCTATCACTAAGTAGTTTTTGAAACCAAATTATTTCTTTCGCTGCTTCAGACCTCGCAATATACTCTGATTCCATCGTAGACAGTAATACTGATTTCTGTTTTTCACCATACCAACTGAGTAGACAGACAACGTGGACTTTCAAGTATTCAAGTCTCCAGCATAGTCCGAATCATTACAACAAGCTTTCAAAATATCTTGAAAATTCTATAGTCAGTCCCCTTTAAATATCTGAAAATGCGTTTTAACATTTTTCAGTGCTGCTTTTTCGGTTTAGCCTCAAGTTGCCAATAGCTGATATAAAAAGATAAACTGGGTCCTCTTGATCACTTTCCCTTATATACTGACAATTATCCATGTGTATGGCTACTGCATTAAAATCTTTCATGCTAAATTTATTTAAGATTGTTTTCGTGTAAATACTTGCATTGATGAAAATCTTGTTATCAAATTAGATAATTTGTATTACCAAATCACTGTTTAAATTAGAGGTTATAGTTTCCTTAAACTGAGATTTAAATTTTTGTAAGACTTCTTGATTTACATCTAAATCTCCAACAAGTCCATCATCAACGTACACAGTTAGCAGGTGGCTTACTCCAGAACAAACAAGAGTCTACTGTACTTCGCAGTAATTCGTTTTCCTTTAGGAACTCTGTAAACTTCTTAATTCAGTATCTGGGTACTCTTTCAGACCGTAAAGGCTTCTAGAAAGTTTATACTGTGTTTAAAAGCCGTTAAAATTAACAACTTTAAAAAAAAATCAAAAATAAATTCACATTAATGTATTCCACAATGTATCGAATTCGGTCTATTCACCTCAACACAAATACACTCCAACACAAATTCACTCCAACACAAATTCACCTTGTGTCTTCTCGTATCGATCATCCATGTCATCCACGATGTTCCTGCAAATTATCCGTAACCCTATAATAGGCTCGCGAGGTAAGCTATTGAAATCTTGCTATTAAAATCACACAGACGTGTGGTTCATATATAAGAAAAACCTAAAAAATGGTGAAACAAAAAAACATACATATATCTCATTTAACTTAATTTTTCATACACAATTCCATACTCGAATTTATATATTTTAATTCTGTATCTTTCTTATTTTTGCGTTTTTATAAAAAAAAGATTTGAAAAATATATTTATTTTAACGACTTCTATACATTTAAAAAGTATCATCTTAGGATTCACCCTGTACATTTCCTCCCCCAGATTACCATATGTATTAATCGGTAATGTAAGGCCAATTCTTAATATCCTGCTTTAAAGTTTATAAACCGACATACATCGCTGCAATAATAATCATTGTAAGATTTACCAGTTGTAGAATTAATCTTATAATCATTTCCTCTGCAGCGTTGCTTCACTGGTAATAACTTAAGTGTGATATTGATGTGTTCAAATCAAAGTTTATATGTGTTTGGCACATTGTAATAACACTAAACCATTTCAAAATCAACAAATTATCACAAATAATTTTTCACTGATAAAAAGAGGTTTCACAAATACAAGTAAGAACTAGCTCAGAAGAAATATAATTTAGTAGTTAATTGAACTATATTAAAAGAACTTATATGAGCAGTTGTTGCATAGAACATGGCATAATGCTTCGAGTTATGTATGTATTAGTTTTTGTGGGAAGCTAGTTGCATCCTGGCACGCACAAGGTGGTGTCTCCTATTTTTGCCATTTCTTTGTCCTCTAATATTCAGACATTTTGATATGTGTATATGCCTAAACGTTTGCAAATATATTAAAAAAGCCTTTAAAAAAAAACTGCTTTTTTAACTGGTAGTCGGAAAGAAAGGCCAAATCGAAAGACAAAGGTCATAAAAAACAGTTGAAGCTATCTATGGCGAAAATGGTTGCATCAATTATTATTATTAATAATTACGATGTTTATCAGAAAAACAAATGTCTTACGTTAGACTCCCTATTGTTAAATTTATCCGTGACCGCGATAAATAAATATCACCCATTCGGCTTTAAATACAAATTTTTTGTTAACAGCTATTTCTAAAGAATATCGACAAAAACGAAACAAGTTTTTTTTTGAAATTCTGATGCTAAGACCTACCTTATTAAAAAAAAGATTGTCGGTAGAAGGAAAACTCGGCCCAAAACTCATATCAAAATATTTTTGAAAGTGAATGCAAGAAAGATTCATTACAGTATTTAATACCCCATATGTAACATAAAATTATTTAGACCAGAGAAAATTGTATTAAAATATAAAATAACTATAAACAAATAATATTGTTATTGATACATAATACAAATAATAAAAAAATTGAATCATCTGTCTAGGTCAGATAATCGCAATTAGTGTGAGCAGGAGTCTTGTTTTTGTATATTTTTTTTCTTCGCCAATTATTGACTGTATCTGCTATACCTAAAGCAGCATTTACATTTATGAGTACCCTGATCTTAGTTACCCTACTTGGACACAAACTAAAAATGTAAACATCTATTTGTAAAGCATTCCCACTTGAATAAGAGTTAGTGTGAAAGTAGAGGGCTAACCCAATCTCGTCTTCAAGTAAACGTGATTATAGATAGTTGTCGATTTTTTGTATTGTTTATGGTTTGTGAAGTGTTAAGAAATATCGTGTTATTAATAAAAAAGAACATAAGTTTTTAAAATTTTTATTGAATCATAATGTTCATTCGCATTTTGTATGTAATAGGCTGAACTACTTCGGTCGATAGCCAGTTTGTTATTCCAAGAAAGCACGTTTATTATTTGTATTATTATTATTTTAAAAGAAAAAAATAATAATTTCATCATGCATGTCTCCTTCATACTTGCATTGCATCACATACATCAAACACCTGTCACCCTTTGATAAATTTAAATTTATTACGTGTCAGTTCTAAAGACAAGATTAAGCACATCTCATTGACAACTTCGGTTGCCAAGTATGTGATATTTATATTTTATTATTGACATAGCATTTTACATTTTGTACAGTTCGTTAATTTTCCAACACTTATTCCAGGAAATCGATATAGAAAAAAATGCCTTTTAATAGACAGAAATGAACAATACTCTTCCTCTACTTGTAGAGGTGTAACCTTGCGTCCAATCCTAGCAGTTACTCTGTGCCTCTCAACATCCAAATATAATTGAGCATACCATCTTTATTTAGCTTAATGCATCGGTTTCAATACTCTATACACTACTGTTCATTCAAATTTAAGATACCACTGTAAGGTACCAGAAAAAAAAAACGAACAATAAAATAGTTCCATTTCGTTTAGCTTTATAATTTTCTATACTTATAGCGGCACGTTTTTTCTTGAGATTGTCAATTTAATGACAAAAATATTAAAATGTGTATGCGATGCAAACGATTGAACTCAACTCGCAAATATAACTCAGGTTCGAGTACTCTTAAATGTAAATGCCACTTAAGGAGTAAATGGTGCATTATTAGTTTTCTTACCAAAATATTAAGTGATTGCGTATATCTAGCGATTTATTTTTGTTCTTTTTTATTAGTCTATTTAATTAAATTTTCTCAATATTTTTTTTAGTAAATATTAAAGGATTCTTGAATTATTTTTATTTAATCTCTTATATTCCCGTGTTCACTCAATAAATAATTCGACATTAAATATTAATCATATTCCTAATTTTTATTACAAAATATTTATTTTTTTGAAAAATGTAGGTTGATCAATTAATTATACCATTAGAATAGACCAACTGTTATGGAAACTAATTATATTTTTTCACAGTGCTGATGATTATCTTATTATATTAGAATTTGCTTATTTTTAATTATATTTCTAACCATTGCACTAAAAATTGAGTATCCTCTCAGGACCAAGTAAGAAGCAAATGGGACAATTTCGACTGTTCTAGTAATAATCTTGGTAAGTTTTACAAACAAATCTACTTTTATTATGAGAATATTTAATTCGTAAATTTTTGTAGTCATAAAAATATTAATTATTAAATCGACTGAAATTGACGACGAAAAGACCCATGTATCATTTTTTTCCATTGTGGAATTGTGGATAAACCATAATTTGCACATAATTTTCTTTTTTAAAACAAAAATTATTTATTATTAGGTAATGCTTCATGTAAAAAACAACAAAGGCAATTATGTATATTTGTTTTATATTGCTTTTATCGATATTAAGTAATACCAAATCAGGTTATTATTTATATTATAGAATCGTTAACAAACGTTTTTTTATATAATATATGTATACGAAGTTGTTTATTAATCAGAGACAAGAGTGTTCGAGAAACTTGTGGCCAAATAAACTAATACATTTTTAAATGGGATACACTATTTGATTTAAAATTAGAAAGCAGTACAGAAGCATTTTGAAAATAAAGGGGCTTAATAATTTATACCAGATACGTTTACATACAACCATCTGTTCGTATTTAAACATTTAACGTTTTATACGATTCTGCTAACTAAATAGTCGATAAAACCAGCTGAAACTACGTTTTAAAATTGTCTGAACGTTAGAAGTTAACAGAGTACAAACTAAGAATATTAAATCAACATGAGTAAACACAAGACATGGGAACGATAGTACTATTTTTTATCTCCTCTTTGACACTTCACTCTTTCACATTTCAAGTAAAAAATAACGTTTTAAGCATGACTGAAGCTACTTTCAACCAATAGAGTTCTAAACTGGATCCCCTCTACAATAAGCGAAGCCAAGCCAGTAGTCAAGAACATAAATTATAAGTGAAACCATACCCATGTAGGCATTGTTGTCTAGTATTCTACTAACAGGTACATTGTTCATCACTCAGCACTAATAAACGCATCAAAAATCCTTTTTATTACGTCAAAAGTTGGAATTTCCATGTTTTCATTTCTAAGTACTCACACACAAATCTCTTGTTAAAGAGAAAAATGATTTCGAAATTCTAAAATTGATAAATCTCTAATTCCCCCTACAAAATTATAAAAATTACACCTTCATATCCCCAAAGTGAAAACAAGCCAAAGAAAAATTTAAAAAAGAGAAATAAAAAAAGAAATAGTGTGCTAGACCGGGAATCGAACATGGAACCTCGAACTTGGGCTGTCCGCGCTCTCCCGTTTCGGTCATCTGAGCATATAACGTTTTGATGTCCGAATTCGTAAATTTGAAGTCAATCAGATTCAGACTCCCTTCATTACACACACATTCTCGTCCCATCTCCACTCTAAATTCTCCTTAAAGCCACCCTTTTGGCATCGTGTAGAAAGACAGTAATTTCTAATTATATTACATTAGAACTTCATTTCTAAGATCCTTCATTTGTCCAACAGTGTAAAATTTTCGAGTACGGTACGTCGTAAACGTGAAATAAAGGAAAGTGAAGTGAGAAAATCGGTTTAGATCCGAAAACTAAATGCAGATTTGAAAATTCTGAAAATGAAAATCCCTAATTCCCCTACGTTCCATCTAAATTACTTCCTTTCTACACGATGTCAAAAAGGTGGCTTTAAGGAGGATTTAGAGAGCTAAGATGGGATGAAAATTTGTGTGTACCGATAGGAGTCTAAATCTGATGACTTTAATTTACGAATTCGGACATAAAAGCGTATGTGCTGAGATGACCCAATCAATATAGCGCGGACGGTTCAAGTTCGAGCCATATGGTGTGGTTACGCCCATCTTTATTAATTGTAGGTCAACATGTATTAGTCAGTTATTTACTGCTCGGCTCTGCACGATAACCTACTCTAGTGTAGGTAAGTCAATTCCACACCATTTGACAATTAAAAGGAGGTGGTAGATATGTAGATGTTGGCTTGTGCCCAAGTATAGAGATGGCCGTGCACCCGCTCTGCCTATCTATTGCTCGTATGCTTTTTTCCTAACCTGCATAATCAACTCTGGAAGTATCGGCACCCCGGTGAATGACATTTTACAGGTCTTTAAAATATGACACCAAAAACAGCATAGTATGTAAAAAAACCACTAGATGTCGGTAGAAGGTGAAGTACCCCAAATGAAAACGAATAATGACTGCGAACTGACAGAAAAATTCAGTTAATTTTATCTTTATCGAGTAAAAAATAAGTCTGTATCCAATTTTTTTTTTAAATAATGGTAATTTATTAATGTCTACTAATCATACCCTATATAACAAACGTAATCGAAAGTGAAAACGAGAAGAAAATACTATACCACATACTTATAATAATAACCACCCATATATTTCTTCAAAACAAAGTGAGAACATTACTATTTTTCATCATTTTTAGTGTACAAAACAATAATTAAATAAGGAAAATAGTGTGTATTCTTTCCTACAAAATTGTAAATATTGTTGAAATGGATTTTAAAAAAATAAGTGTTAAGTGTCATGTTTACAGAAAAGTAGGTATTCAATTTTATAACTTCCACATTTAAGATAATTAATAAACACATTCCAAAGATACATGCTTATTTTGTTACCAATCCTAAACAATTTCTAATTGCAATAAAATGTGGGTCTTACAAGGCAAATTGATGAAAAGGGTAGGTACAAAAATGATCTGTAAACCTTAATTACCTATATGAATGAGTGTTGTAATAAACTTTTTATTAAATATAAACGCAGATTATACACAGATTAATAAAGAAAAACGAAGGAAAGGTAGGTCTTTTCAAGTATGGAAATTTTATTAGTATTCATATTATAAATGTAAAAAAAGAACATTATCAATCTTTCCATTCTTGTTTATTGTTTACATTTATATTACCTATATGGATGATGTCTTAACAGCCGAACTGCTAATTCTAATAAAATGTACACATTTAAAAAATTGAAAATACCTTTATTCCTTTCTTTTCTTTATCTACAAAATAATATAAAAGCTTATAACAGCAATTTGTATCGTCTTTATTTCTACATCGCCCACTTCTACCCCAGTATATATAACAATCTTCTACTTTGGACATCTAAATTAAAATTTGACATCGACATCAGTATATCATTCATATCTAAGATCAACAATAACTAGACTAGACAATAACCTAGTCCTCGACAAAGTTGAAAGAAGCACTACTTTAAACTAACAACAATAAATAATATTGCAAAATTATTAGAGTTATAAATAAAATACAATTATATTTGTTCGTAAATATAATATATGTCATGCTCCATGAACATTAAAATAATAACCTGTCAAATGATTGACCAATTATCTGATGGCCAGATTTTGAAGTTGAACATGTTGATGTTAAAATATACTTTATCTAGCTCTTATAATGGTCAAACGGGTACCTCACCTTTTAACGTCCTCTGGTGAATTTTTTGGAACTACGTTGTGTTTGGTGCCATATCGTCTTCTGTTTTCATATGGGATTTTAGGGAAGTTGAAACACCTATTGACTTTCATCGTGATCGGCACGTACGGTCTTGTTTTTATGTTTAAAGGACAATTCAAAAAAATTCTAATGAGAGGGATTCAATTAATTCCAAAACACTAATTGTAAACGGGTATCACATAAAACAGTTTGATATTATTTTTAAAAATACATTGTTAAAAACTGCATTATTGTCCCAACTTTTATTTAGGTATTTTAGCGATAATCACCTTTAAAACTAATAATACTAGACCATATAATATAGAGTGTTTTTGAAATACATGTTCGTTTAAAACTTGAACTTTCCTAGAATGTTCAAAAATATAATTTTGAAAATCGACATTAAAATTAACACACTCTCATGTTGAGGTAGGTGGGTTGATTTAATTTAAATAGGTCATTGGGCAAACAAGTGAGTCTGTAGTTGACAATGTTGCTAAAGCGTTTTGGGGTTTGATAGATGAGCAGCAATTCGTAGTGTCACCATTTTGATTTTTAAGAATACTGTTTTTTATATTTGTTATAAAAAGGTACTTGATTAACAAAGGCACTGTTTGCTTAATTTTGTTTTCATGTTTTTTTAAGATTGGCAAGGTTGTTACAATTTAAGGTAAGTTTAATTTAATTTCATGTTCGGTACCAGCGCTACTGTATTTATGCGAAATATTAGATACATTCTATGCAGTTTTTGTTCTTTTCAAATACTGCTTCATAAAAAGAGTGATATTGATATTTAAATTGGGGGTAATTTTACTATAAAATTATTGACGTTCATTTTAGGACTTCATTTAGTTACTACTACCCGTTTTAATAAATACATGTATTTCAAAAACATCCTGTAAATGAAAATTTCAAATATTTTTCGATCTTCTGACTCCTAAAAACGCTAAGAAAAATCCATGTATTTTTTAATAAAGAAAGGCTACAACTGTGACGACCTATTGTAAATGCGCATGTCTCATTATAAGTGACAACTTTTTCATTTTTTTTTTGTTGGTTTTCATGTCAGCTATCGCACCCTAAAATTTGTTAAACTTTATCCCATACACCTATATTTAAATAGTAATTGTAAATCTCCTTACTGATTTTATGCCTGTAATTTTGAACTCACCAATATATTTGGGGTTTTTCGTTTGGTTTGCTGTTACCAATGATTTTCGCAATAAACATTTTTATTAAAATTTTGACATTCGATGATAACTATTTCGTGACAATTTAGGTATATTGATTCCAATTTGTATTTAAAATTTAGTCTCTTCTCATCATATCGTCATAGAGTCTTCATGTTGCCAATTTAATATTAGATTTGACATTGATTTAGGTCCATAACTAATTGATTGACATTTATATCTATTTAAAATGTTAGAATTCCTTATTTTTTATTTTATAAATGATGCTGGTACCAGTAACTGCCATCAATTTATTATTTTAAAATATGCGCAGAAACATTACGAAGGTATTTTTATATCCTTGGTTGTTTTTTTTCCTGCATCGATTTCTACAGTATTAAAAATAAATTTAAAAAATATAATTTGACTTCTGTTTGTGCAAATTTG